AATGAAATACAAAAAAAAAAAAAAAAAAAAAAACAGCGTAAAAACAGGCCTGTTCCTTTCTCGATCATCCATGTCGTCGCTCCCCCTTTATGCTTCCACTCCTCCGTGAGAGATTCGAGACCGGTGTGCTCACAGTTGTTGCTCATTAGCAAACGCACCACCGGCCTCGCACCATTCTCTCGGCTGTCCTGTTCGCCACACTTACGCTAGGGAAAAACCTCTTTTCCACAAGATATTGAAGCCAAAAATTATCTTTAATTTTGAATTAATGTAAAAAGCATTGCGGCAGCATGCAGACATATGCAAGACAGCTTGCGTGCTTATTGGCTGTGCTGTGGCAACTGCAGCAGCCTATCGAGAGGCCTTGGCGACGTCTGAACCAATGGGGGCGCTTCCGCGCAGTCTGAGAAAAGCTTTCTGCAGGACGAGCCTTTGCATCTGAAGTCGCTGACTTTCATCTTGCTTTAAATCATTTTACTCTGCCGAGTGTGTGTTCGCCGCTGCGAATCTAACACCGTGTCCTAACTACACGTGACACAACGCTGTGACGCGATAAAAGGTATCTTTTCCATGTGATGTTAATCAGAGTTTTTGTCCTAACCAGACGCGACACACAAAGTTTCTAATTTAGAAACGGTTCCTATCATCGTGTCCTAACTACACGCGACACGATAAAATTCCAGGGACAGCAAGTGTGTCTGTCCACACTAGACACGACGCGACTGTGAGACGCCACACGTCAATTAAAAATCACAGCCATTCAGAACAGCGTGTGGGTGGAGTCTCTCTGTGAAAGTGCACTGTATCTATACAGATTAAAAATCTTACTAGCAGAGTTACATAAGAGGCGATCTGGCGCTGGAATGTACACAGATGCTTCAATCTACCACTAACAATTGCTGAGACTGTTGAAATCACACAAAAAAATAAAAATCACCTGTTGAAATCACCTGCTCTTGATATACAATTATTGATAAACAAATTTGGTTTTAATGAGAAAAAAAAAAAACTATACGAGGGCAGATTAGAATCCAGAAACGCTAGCACGCTTAACAAAAGTTCTACCACCAGACCATTAGAACTTAATATATGTGGGAAAAAAATCGATTCTCGATGCATCGCGATGCGGACGTGGACGATCCTGAATCGATTCACAAATGTCAAAAAATCGATTTCAAAAAAAAAAATTTTATATGTATTTATAATAACGTAATATTGACGGAACGCGAAAGACGGAACTCTGAAGCGCGGAAGTGGCGGGACCGTCTGTGGCGTGCACATAACAGAGATGAGATGGCACGCGAGATCCAAACACTTTCCTTGTTAACGTTAGGTTAAAAGCTGACGTGTGGAAATATTTTGGCTTCTGAAGTTGAAGGGGGAAAGGAGCTGGACAAGAGCCGCACTAGTTGTACGCTTTGTGGAATAAAACCAACGACGGAAACACGACAAATATGATAAGCCATATGACACCTTTCCAGCCAGAGGAGGAAAAACACTCGGCTGCACCAGTCGTTATATTATTTATTTACTACAAGTATGCTCCTAGTTCAGGCACACATTTATTTTCCTGGTCGTTCTTTGTAATGGTAATAAAATATATTGTGCATTAATTCTTTATGGGTCATTACTTTGTACTTTTAAAGCAAATTATTTATAGTCACACACAAAAGATTCAGATAATCGATCTGTAACATTATAAAATGTCTTGTACTTTAACTTTTGATCAACTTTAATTTATCCTTGATGAATAAAAGTATAGATTCTTCTTTTTTCTTTTGCCCAAAAAATTAAATAAAAATTCTTACCGACTTCAAACATTTGAACGGTATTGTTTAATGTTACAAAAGCTTTCTATTTTAGATAAATGCTGTTCTTTTGAATTTCTGGGTGATTCTCTGAATCGGGTGTCCTTCAAGTCCCCAAACTTGCTTCAAATACTTTCAATTGAAGGAAATCACAAATACATTTTAATGCTGTCAATTAATAGAACCAGGTGCATTTGCATTATAATGCACAAATTGCTTTTGAAAAAAATTTAAAGTTAATAAATGTAAAGATAATGAGTTGCCTAAGTAGTAGACAACAAGCATGTTTGCATGTCCTCACTAACCATCTTTATATTTTCAATGAATATCAAACAAATAAAAAGTGCAATTAATACCAAAATGTTGCTGCTGCTGCTAATATAATCATATGTTGGTCTAGTGTATTTTCGTTTACTGTTGTGAAATGGAAAATCAATAATCGGTAATCGAGAATCGTTAATAATCGAAAATCGACTGTAATCGAATCGGGACTTCAATAATCGTAATCGAATCGAATCGGGAAATCAGACAGATTAACCACCCCTATTATATATGTAATATATGTTATTATATAATAATATTATATAATATTATAAGTGCCTTTTTAGAGAGATTTGGGGGTCCTAATCTTTTGACTGTGAGACTGTCTATGGGTGCCTGAGGCTGAGATGTTCTTGGTTCATTATAAAGCCTTTGTGTCAAAGTCCCTTGTTAATCCAAGCTTCCATTTTCATCTCAGACTTAAATCTGATGGAAGTGTGACACACAGAAAATAGTTTAGGCCCTTTCCTGAGCACCAGGAACCTTTTGGCTCTAGTGAATATTGAAGTATATTTCTCAGGGTGAGTTAGTTGGTAATTATTAGTTGTTGAGGGGGTGAATTAAAATATCTAGGGTTTTTTAATGCTTGGTTAGTTTTATTTCAAATCTTTTAAAGTCATCTTCAGCCTCCCTTGGAAGTTTACAGAGGCCGCCAGCGGGTCTCAGACCACTGGTAGAGGATTATTGCTGTAAAGCCATGGTTACATAAACACGTGAACATTTGCACCATTACAGCAGGAAACAATGTACCATTCCACTTGTGATCAATGGGTAGGGCATGTTGTCACACCACACACTGTAGCGTAAGTTAACAATATCTGCCTTTACACAGTTTATTTTAGGCCTTTCAGTGAAATATGAACAGTAAAGCAAAAATTACACAAAAACTATAGGTGAATCAATCAACCACAAAACATAAAAAAAGTAACCATCAAACTTATTGTTATTTTAAGTTAACCAACATGTTATTGTTAAATCTTGTACTACTTACTCAGGACCTGTTGGTTACTGTGACAACTAGCCCCACACTAGATTGACAGAGAGAAAGAGTTAGAGATATTGTAAGCTCACCAGAGGGAGCTCTTTCTAGTGTGTGTGTGTGTGTGTGTGTGTGTGTGTACGTGTGTTTGAAAGAGCGGGAGAGAGAGAATCAGTAGATTCTCATCACAATTCGTGTTTCTCCCAGTCTTCACACAAGCTCTGAACAACTTTTGGGCAACCTCAAGCTTAATATGTAAACCATATCCCCTTCAGAACACTTCAAAATGGCACATACCGGTGGCCAAATTCATCAAACATAATGGTCTCGCTGTAGGCTGGTGTGGTCGCTTTTTCTCCCTCCCCCTCTTTCTTTTTTCATTTGCTTCTGTCATTCATAAAGGGCCTTAGGTCAAAGCTAAGTGCTATTCTGCTATTAGCAGAAACTGGATAGAATCCAGAGTCAAGAAATCTGATCTTAGTTTCTGGATTTTGGGAAAACATCATTTGTCTTGTAATATGAATGAGTGAAAAATAAAACCTCAAGGACCAACATCCATTCAGTCAAGACAAGAATGGGAACGAGAATGAGAGAAAGAGCGAAGGAAAAAGTAAAAAAAGAATGCAATAATGACGGGTTATAAAAAACATAAAAATGCTTTTGTCCCCCATTTTTCCCTATGCTTTATTATTACCCACAATGCGCCATCGTGCCTCTTTTTCCCCCTCTGTTCCTCCACTCTGCTTTTGTCCAGCTATCAGACAGAATTAAAAACTACAGGAGCAACAAACTCAAGCTGACATGACCTGATGAGGGCCATGGTGGGGTGATGGGAAGGGGGGCATGTGGTGGTTAGAAGAGAGTGAATCGCTCAAGCCACGTGACACCCTAGTCCAGTCTACAATCAGCTACAGGATGTAACAAAGAACAAAACACTTCATTCCCCCTTCCTCTCTTTTTTTTTTTCTGAATTGCTATTGTGCTAATAATAAGAGCAACGGCTCTCTGTAAGGATGAGAAGTAACTGAAGCATTTCTCTCATTTTCTCTTTTACAGGCTGAGGTCAAAGGAGAGGCATTCCTGTCTATTAAGCATTCATGATCCTCACCTCCTTCCTAAATGCTCTGTGGCCCACAAGGTGTTAGCAATGGATAAGGAGATAAAGAATTGTTATGGAGTGACATGATGAAAGTTGACAGTCAGACTCAGTTATGATTAAATAAACAACGGAAAGATTTGTAGATGAACTGAGATGGAATATATTTTAATTGTTCTCAAATTATGCACTACATTGTACAGACGTTATTGAGGTGCATTATTAAACTGAATGAGTGCACTCTATAATGTCCATTATGGTTTTGAACACCAGTACAAATGAAATTAAATAGTTTATTTTTTTGGTATTATGTTAGTTTTATATGTTTGGTGCTGCAGTGGCTGTATTCGTGAGGCCAAAATAAATTTCCCATCGGGACAATAAGTATACCTAACAGATTTTGAAGTGCACACCTTTCTTTCTATCCTAGTATCTACACTGCAGAGGAGTTGTGAAAGCCAGTGAGGAAACGCGACTGAAACAATAGGCCTACCGCAAACAACATGATGTCTATGTAGTAAATCCAGATTAATTTCATACACTATACAATCATAACACATCGCGTCGGTCAAGAACTTATTCAGAAGTACGTTACGTTAGCCTACATTACACGGATGTTTCTTGCTACACGGAAGCGCAGGCTGTTTTTCACCACACAGCTTTAGCATGCTATGCTAGCATATAGCATATAGATAAATAAATAACAAGTAAGATATTATGTATCCTACATTTATAGCACAAAATGTACAAACACTGACACATTAATAACACAAAAATGATAAAACATTAAACTCACATTTGAAGGATGCTTTGCTGTCTTCTCCGAAGGCTTGACAATTTCTCGCCAGGCTTCTTCAAATATATAAAGCTGTGAGTGCATTAGTATCCATTCCACACTTTCCTTTTTTAGCTGAATAATTTGAAATTTATCTAAGAACCCTAACGTTACACCAAGACTTTTTCAGTGCGCTTTCTCTCGAACGTTAGCCTATTCGTAGTGTGCAGGTAATTGAATCGTTCATTCCAAAGTGAATCATTGAATCATTAACTTAAACGATTTGTTCAAAACATCGATTTATTCCGCAAAGAAACACAATTGTCAGTAGGTGGCAATGTAAGTGACTCACTGAATCATTAAATTCAGAATCATTCTTTTTACAGATTCGCTCAAAAACACTCAATTCATTCAGAAAAAAAAATAGCCTGACAGGTGTTATGGAATTATTTTCCCTGAAAGAAGTAAAAATAAAGCAACTGGCAATATGGTCTCTAAAATGTAATGTAGCCTACTTCACATTAATTTCTTGTTTAAGTAAACTATTTTATATTCACACTGTTGGTCGGATTGCCACTATTTGTGAAATGGGACAGAAGCTGCCTTTTTATGCACATAAAATTATAACTTCAAATTATCCTTCATTCATAGAATTACCAAAAGACCAACGCTGATCTGTCAAGCACTTGTGTGTATGTGTGTGTTTGTTGGGGAAGTGTTCAGTTAGGCAGTTCAACAGGCAGACACAGCACAGCTGTAGTTGATTTGAACTGTAGCCCTGACAGCTTTAATGAGATACTTTATAGCCTGCACCAATCTCCTTCCCTACTCATGCCATTAAACACACTCACACTCACTCACACACACACACACACACACACACACACATATTTAAGCGCACTTTGTGTGTTTTCATCAGAGTTAAACCTCAATGCTAGTATCAAATAAATGTGAATCACAGTAAAAAATTAGGCTGACATGCCAAACAACATTTGGTAGTGTTTAATTTCTTCACAGTAGTTTAATCAGATTGATTTGGTTCGTTGTGATTATGGTTCAGTCATTCATTTCATTCAAGTTAAAGGAAAACGGCTCAGCACACATACATATGCAACTCAAGATGGTTCATCCCTCAACAACCATCTCTCCATTCCACTCCCGTTATCTCATTCTCTCCCTCCTCTGTCCGTCTGTGCCATTCCCAGGTCAGTGTAGTCCAGGTCGCTGTGTCTGTCTGAAGTCTGGAGGCAGAGACTGATCAGAGCCTTTCAGCAGAGGCCTCCTTGCATATGAAGCTAATCTGAGTGGGTCATCTCTCCCCCGCTCATGGCCTTTCATTCAGAAGACCCTCTCAGTCTCTCTTAGTTGCCTCATCTTCATCTATAGGTTTTATCTATTCATAGCAACACATCCCATAGTGACATTTTAAATCACCAGAGTGAATATGTGCAGTAAATGGAAACATTCGATGTAAGCTGTAGATAATGCACCGTAAAAGGCATATCATAATGTCTCATAATGCACTTTAAAATCCATTACATAATGCTGGTGTAAGTATAAACACATTTATAGAGCATTATAATGCTAAAATGTTCATGGCCATTTAAATGCTCTGTAATGCATGAGATGGTGAGCTAATTTTGCCAGTGACAGGTAAATTGGGAAAATTTACTGGCCATAAAAATGTATTTTACACTTTTTTTTAACTTAATACTGCTTGAGAGAAAATCCCACATCTGCTTTGGCCTCACAGGGTTATGGTCACCATCACTTTCGGCGCTTCCTGGCGCTTGCACAGACCAAAGCGCCCGCGCCCTCAGATCACTTGGATGTGATTACATGAGGTAAAAACAATATAAATATTGTGGGCCGTCAATGTGTACTTACATTTACGAGTCATTAAATCATGTTTAATTTGGACTTCTCTGTGCATGCTCTTTGAGGTGGGTTCCATACTGCCCTACAAAGGCAAAGTGCAGTAACTACACATTTGGTCAAAAATGAGTTAAGACTTGTAATGGGCTTTGTGACATGTTTTCTGTCTTCTGAAAAAAATATCTGGGTTAAATTACGTCCCGTTTCGGAGATGCATTTCCACATAATCTATCCATAACATGTTTGACTTGACCTGAAGCAAATATTTTCTTGCATTGGGTGCTAAGCATTTGCTAATTTTGGAGCCTAGTTGTGATACTTTATACTTTTTAAAGTGACAATAAAACAAAAGTAACAAGAGATCTTTTCATCCGTTTTGTGAAATGGATTATCAAAAAAGAAAAAAAAAATGTTGTGTGGGTTCTATCCATCAGTTGACTGGATAGAGGAATATCTGAATGCGAGTCAGATAGTAAAAAAGGGGTCAAACTAAATGATTGGAGAAGTCTTGCACACGTCATGCAGAGAGAGGTTAGTAGGTTAATTAAAAAATATAATAATAATTAAAGAAGCACAGTGATGAAAAGTTCACAATAAGATCAAGAACATATTAGACCATTTCATGCTGACTTTAAAGTGTAGCCTATCGATAAGTATAAATAGGTAAGTATAATTATAGATTATAAAGGTGGTTACAATCATTAAAGAGAACATAAACCAATAAGCTGTTTTTGCATTATGGAGGCCTTAATGCATTAACAATATTATTATAATGCATTAGGCAAATGCACGTGTGTGCGCTCAGTTCAGTGGACACGTCCTTTGGCCTCATTAGATGGTTAACTCAGTGCTCATTCAGGTGTAGTGTGAGTGAGGAGTGTGTGTGTGTGTGTTCAGTGTAGTTCAGCGGACACGTCCTTTGGCCCCATTAGATGGTTAACGCACTGCTTATTCAGCCGTGTGAAACAGGACACACACAAGAAAGCCCAGCAGAGGAGCCATGTGTGTATGATTGTTTGTGCGTGTGTTTTTTCACATTTGTAAACACACATACTTGTAATACTTGCACACAAGAGATATAGAAAGGAAATAAAAGTAAAACAAAGAGAGGAAGTAAAACAGGATACATTCCTCTTTCTCCCCACCCTCGAATTTTCGATATCGCTTCTTCCTCTTCTTCCCCCAGCTTTTCCTCTTTCTCTCTTCTTCCCCCAGCTTTTCTTTTCTCTCTTCCTCATTCGCTCTCTGTCTCCTCTCATCTACATTAACAGCATGTGACGTTTATGACTGTTACGGCTTGCTAATTATGGCTGTTTTGTTACTGTGTTCTCCAGAACAATTGGATGATTGTTGAGTGCAAACATTTGAAAGACAAGCACTGACCTCTCTCTCTTTTCTGTCTTTCTCTCTCTCCATCTCTCTTCCTTTCTGACGGACCCCCCCATCCCCCCATTATTCCCATTTTCTCTGTGCTTGTATGTTCTCTTGTTATACAACAATTATGAAAGCACTAGTGGAGGTTAGCTAGAGAAAACGCTGGATGAGTTTGGTCTTGACTTTTTCAAATATCCATTTGCTCACATTCTCTAGCAGTGGTTTTGCATCTTGGCTTTATACTGCCCACCCTGAATACACAACTAGACCACATTTTTTGTATTTTCTTTGTGTGTGTGTGTGTGTGTGTGTTTTGCATTGCACCTTATCTGTAAGTAAAGCGTGTGTTTGAGTGGAGGTCATTCCCACATCAACTGCTGTATTTTCCCACAGACATCTTTGAACACTGAATTCAGATTCAGCCACATGCAGACAGCTCTGAACCAATCATGCCTGAACTCAAAAGCGTGCGCTTGTTTGAAGTTTGTATGCTGAAAGTTCCCCCGTCTTATCAAGATGTTTGAGTTCATTCACATTTCTAAAATGGATTCAAAATATGTCTAAAGCCTGTGTTTTTGGAACATGTGGATTTACATTCTTATAACTTAAAGGAGAACTCCGGTGCAAAATGAACCTTTGGTCTAATAAAACATCGGTACCTAGTCAACCGTTCTCTGAGATTTGTTTTCATGAGAATCGAATGTGAAGAGTTTTATCTCTAAAAATTGTTTAGCATATAATGCTAGACTAGTACTGGGGGGCATTTACTAAGTAAAAAGAAATTGCTAGTTTATACCACTAACAAGGCTCAAAATAACCCCACACTCACACGGTAACATAATGAGGGTCCATACATGCAAAACGAAGCATTGAGAACTTTGTAAGTGTACAGAGCATTTAATAAGAAGATACTTTATAAAGACAGTTCACTTTGTGAAAAATAGTCTTTGGAAATAGTCTTGATAAGTCGATCCCTCAGTCACTCAGCACGTCGTACGTGGTTTGACTTGTCGTGACTGTTTTCCAAAGATGTCGCTGCCTGTATAGACTAAGTGGACTGTCTTTATAAAGTATCTTCTCAATTAACGGTCTGTACACTTACAAAGTTCTCAATGCTTAGTTTTGCATGTATGGACCCTCATTATGTTACTGTGTGAGTGTGGGGCAGTTTTGAGTCTTGTTAGTGGTATAAAGTAGCAATTTCTTTTTACTTATTAAATGCCCCCAGTGAACAGTTTTTAGAGATAAAACTCTTTACATTCGATTATCATGAAAACAAATCTCAGAGAACGGTTGACTAGGTACCGATGTTTTATTAGACCAAAGTTCATTTTGCACCGGAGTTCTCCTTTAAGTTATAAGAATGTAAATCCAACATAAATTAACAATTTAATTTAGTGCATTTATACTAAAAACACAAAATGCTAAAAAAAAAAGAAAGAAAAGATTGAGCTCACGTCATTTAAAGTGATAGTTCATCCAAAAATGAAATCATCACCTCATATTAATTCAAAATCTACTTAAGTTACACTCTTGTGGGTGAAAAACAAAATTGTCTTGTGTAACAAGTTTGGTAAAATATCTTTTTGTGTGTTCCAAAGAAGAACAAAAAATATTGTGCTTTCACTGCATTTAATTTTGGGGTGAACTAAGTTTGACAAGAATCTTACAATGTATGTCCATGGGATGTACTAACAGTAAATGTATGTGTTTGTATGTTTTGCAGCCAGGTAACGGTTTGAGAATAGGTTTATTGTGTCCCCTCAGTGACTCTGTGGTGCAGGTCAGTGACCAGTCAGAGGAACTCAATATTCAATTCTGTCCTTTGCATTTCCACAGTTGTGTGTGTGTGTGTGTGTGTGTGTGTGTAGCCCCACAGCTGTCATCACTTCATTGTGTCACCAATTACCCATAATTACCCCTGGCAGCATAGGTTCCATTCAGCTATGAACACAAAGCCCACCAAACATTCATCCGGTCACTGAGGAGGTGAGTGGGGTCCATTTACTGTTTTACACACATTATACTGTATACACACCTATCACTGTAGTATAGAATGCCCTATGCCAATAAAGATCTGTGGATTTCGTTTTTTATAAACGATTTGAATGTTATGGCAATTTAAGCAAAGAGTAGAATGAGAGCAGGGTGTAATAATTTTAAAAAAAATGTTGACGTGTGCATCTTTAATTTAAGCCTATGTTTTTTATTCATGACTGCAACATTTCAACAGCAGTGCTTTACTTTAAATAATATTTTACTGCCTAACTGTACACAAAACTATGTCAAATAAAATGTTTACATGTTTACACACCTAAAGTATCTAAATGTACGTCTATAATTTATTTACTGAGGTCAAACATTAAATCAGGTGGTGTCATTCGTCATTATACACAATATACATGAACCTAAAGTGTCCAACATAACTGACCATTAACATAATATTTCCCTTTACTGAAAAACACATTAAATAACACTTAATCCCTAAATTTACTCTCCTAATGAAGTCCCTTGCAAAGCCTACTGGGAACTTCAGATTCCAGTATTCATGTAGTTTTAAGACAAATTAAGTAAACTTCACTTTTAAATATATTAGGTGAACACAATTAAATTAAGTTGTGACAAAATGTTAAATTCACTGATCAAGCACAAACCTTTTCTTCTTCGTTGTCCTGACACGAGTCACGACTATACTGCCCTCTATAGATCTGGTGCAGTCGCAATGCACTTGTGTCAAATGTGTCCATCCAGAGCTTTATTGGAAAATTTATATTGTAGTGTAACTCAATCAAGTTAAAAGAGCATTCCCTTGTATTATGTTACATAAACTTGAATTAAAACAGCAACATTTTATTTTATTGGTACAATCAGGTATAAATACCTCCTTTAAGCAACAACTGCACATGTTCACTTTTTATAGTTTGTAAATCTGCTGGCAAAATATTACCTTTTGTCTGTTAAAAATGAAAATAATTGTCACATGCATTATAGCGACAGTTGTCAAACTTGAAATGGAACAATGCATGAAGCCACTGAAATGCCTGAGTGAATCTTCTGTTATGCCATAAAACATGCCAGCTGTAAGACACACTCGTTCAGTTCAGCTCTAAAGATTCATTTCAGGTGAAAGATTGTGACAGCTTTATCTCTCAAACTCTCTCGTTCAATAGCCGCATTCATACATTTGGAAAAGTCAAATTCGAGAGGGGGAGGGACAGCGAGCGGGAGAGGAATAGAGAGCGACAATGAAGGACATTGATTGAAAAAGGCCAGACTCTTCTTCTCCTTTAATTATGCAATTCTTCCTCCTCCGCAGCCTATTCCCTCAGTTCATTTTATAAACACTTTTTCCACCTCAATTTCCAGTGACATCTTAAAACTGTAGCAAGCTCCAAATTAAGGGTCAGGCTGCAGGCTGCTTCTGATTTAGAGCATAAAGGACTGAAGAACAGAGAAGCCGACGGCTGCTACCACTGCAAGGCTAACTGTTACCATCTGTCTGTGTGTGTGCGTGTGTGTTTGTGAGGGCCTGTAGCCCTCACTCGTATTTCCCCCTCTTTCCATCCGCGTCCCGCTGGTTCTTACCCTCTCTAAATGCTCCATAAAGCTTGTGCACATGAGAGGAACTGACTTAACAAGGTGCGAGCCCCAGGCCTGACCAATCAGAGGTCACGATTCAGGGCTTCACTCCCACCCTGCCTTTCTGATTGGCTGCCTGTGTTGCCCAGATGTTCTCTTTTTAATGATTTTTTTAACCATTAACTTGATAGTTGTTTATGGCTGTGAAATGCTGGAATGTAGGGCTGAGGGGACGGGGTTTGAGGGATGAAGAAAATTAAGGGGGGGGGGGGTACGGTCTAGAGGAGTGGGAATCTAATGTTCAGAGAGTGGATGATAGTTTAGAATTAAATGAATTGGGCAAGAAATAAGAGCTTAGCAACAAGATTATGTGTTTATACATTTGTACTTTTACAGTAATCTTTTTAAAGTACTATACTGTGATAAACACAACAATGAAGACCACTAACACATTAGGCAGAACAAGTTGGATAATCTCAGTGGCACATTTCCCAAAATATCTGTTGTCCTAAACAATAAGGAGAGCCTCTAACCTCTTGTAAGACCGTTACATGCAGTTTATATAGATCTTGCTCTTGCATGACAGACAACAGAGTGTCCCAGTGATGATGTTTAGTAGGCCAACCTGGAAGTTAGCATCACCCTGGTTCTTGCAACAAAAAAAAGGGGTTTTTTCATTGGCTTTTGGATTATTGCAGAAAATAAGCTCTGTGACATACAAAAGTTTATGGTTCTCACATATTTTCAAAATAAAAACAATTATGAATTTTCATGCCTAAAAAATGTAAAGCTAAACGTAGGCTATTGTAACAGGGTTCATTGTTGTGGGAAGAAGGAGGCAGGAACCGGCAAACATTTAAAGGTTTTAATACAGTAAATAAACAAATACAAAAATAAAAGTATAAGCCAGCAGCCCCTCATGGACAACTACTGGCTACACAAAAGAAAACAAAACACAACATAAAATCAGGCCTGTTTCTCTCTCGATCTTTACTGTCGTCACTCCTTAGCCTCACGCCATTCTCTCATGGCCCACGGCCTGTTCCTACTCGCCATATATATATATATATATATATATATATAACTTTAAACTGAAAAGGTCAACCATTTTACAGTAGTAGGGAATTTACATAATACATAACTATACTGAAAATGAAAATAATATTCAAAATACATCAACCTAAAATTATACAAGAAAAATAATACAAATAATAAACAAATACATTTCTACATATATTAAACAAACACAATAAAACATGAAACAATAACCCCCTGCTTCCATTGAGAAATGGACTGTGCCTACACTACCCAGAATTCTTTGGGATGGCATAGAATGAGGAACAGGAAGGCTGCGCGTCCTCTTAAACACCCACCCCCAGAAACCATGCTGCAGACATGAACCCAGAAGGTAAGTTTTTGCAAAGTCTAATGTGGACCTGCAGACTAGAAAAAAGTTACCAAATAATGAGAAACAAACATTTATAGAAATAATATAAACCAAACAAACACATGGGCCTACACTGCCATCAGGTTATGACTTTGTCACAACATCGTATACGTTTTAACATTGCTCACTCACCAAAATAAATTAAGCAATTTTTAACTTATAAGTTACACAAGTTAGCCTATAATATAATATATAAGTTGGTTTTATGTAATGCAATTTAAGTGCCCATCACTGGGAATTAGAGAAATCGTATGAATCGGTCATGAGATATAGCATTGATACCACACACTAATGTTTACCTGTGATTCAGTATTTGATTAGAGACCTTGTCTCTCAAACCCCTCCATTCTCTGTCCCAGTCTGTATAATGTATTTGCCTTAAGGTAACCATAAGCTAATGATAGGTTTGAACTAGTGTGCTAAGCAAGCTGCAGTGAATATGAATTGCTGTCCACATCATGAGAGCTCAATATAGAGTTCTTTGTTAGAAGCAGCAGTGATAAAACTTAAACTACCACCATAAACAGTTTATTAATATATCAGCATGTCTGCAAACTCAACTGATCTATGGACATAAAAAGTGTGGGCATACCAGGAGCTTTGGTGATGATGTTAAAGATAGATCAAAATGAATTCCTATAAACTCTCTATTCTGTCTTTCCTCAGCATCACTGCTAAAGAGAATCATTAGAATATGTAATGGTGGGAACCCTGCGGGTGAAAGAGTGCAAACATGCTTTTGGTCCCCCAAAATAGTGTGTGTTTGTGTGTGGCTCTGAGCTCACCTTATCCATCTTTGTCTTCCTGTAGGGAGTAGAGCTGTATCTTATAACCAAAGGTCAGGACATCTGGTCTAACTCAAACCTTAGACCGCTCACATTACCCGCTTTATTCAACTATTCGCTCTCTTTCATGCATATATATACACACGCACACACTATATATATATATATAAATATATATACAGTATATATATATATACCTTTGATGCTGTTTTCATTAACCTCTGAAATTTGCTATTTACAGCCATCACAGGTTATGATTTAACTTTTAAAATAAATAGAAAACTGTTATTTTAAATTGTAATTTGGTTACACTTTATTTTGATAGTCTACTTTAGACATTCATAAGCAATTTTACAACTACGTGACCACTAACTCTGGAAAATGTAGTAACATTAGAGTATTTGTAAACTTTATAGACTGTTAGGTTAGGGTTATGTGTCCGTTAATAAAATTAACTGATTTTAGTAAATGTCTGTTGGAGAGCATCAAAATAAAGTGCTAATACTGCTAAGTCTGCTAATACTCCAATGAGAGTTCATTGGCTTGTAAAGTTACTTTAGTTAGTGGAAATAAAGAGTTAATATTTCACAATATTCCCGTTTTTGTTGTAGTTTTGATCAAATAAATGCCTTGTGAGCATAAGAGACCTTTTTCAAAAACATATTACCGACCACAAATTATTCCTGTGTTTGTCATGCTGTCAGTTCTAGTCATTTGTTTGATGTTCAGTACTTGTGTGACCCTCAGGAACCCCGTACGCATGGCAGCACAGACGCCACTGGTCAAGTCTGAAGAGAGGTGAGGTGTCAGTAACTGTGCCTGGAAGTGCTCAACTTCTTCTTCATAAATGACTCAAGCAGTCATCCCTCAAGCTTTTAACCTCCCTCTCTCACCTCTGTTAAAGTGTCACAGCCATCTTAACCAACATTTACAGTTCACTGCTAAATGATAGTAAAACAGCTAAACGATGTTCTTAACTGCCATTAGCATTGTGTAGCTGTCAAATCACCTCATCTAAATGCCTTTGATTTCACTCCTGGAAAAAAAAAAAAAAGTCATGTTCATCTCACCTCCTGTTTGGATCAAAGCTTTGCTGAGGTAAAAAGGGTGAATCACGGTCTAGAGTCTAGACTGTATAATAATTACTTTGATACATGCATCCACAAATACTAAGACTCCACCTGGTAGAACTGTATGAAAAGTGGTGCTTTGGTGTATTGATATTTCTCACACATTCTGGTTAGGGTTTATTCTAAACTCCTAACCCTCAGTAAATTCCAGTTTTGAAGATGGTTTCAACATTGGGTGTACTAGCTATTGTGGGTTTACAAAACTAAACATTATAGTTTCACAAAATGATTACACAATGTCAATTTTTAATTAATCAATTTTTAATCAAAAAAGTAATAAATTAACCACATGTATTTAGGCTTTATATGTGTAAATATGTCACATTAAAGTAAAGTGTTACCCTAAATCTCATAACCGATTATGTTATCATAATTTATACATCGATATTTATACATAATATTTGCCTATACTGAAAACTTACCTTAAGTGTGCTGTTTAGCCTATATGGAAACTCATTTCTATCTCTTGTAGAGTAGGCCTAAATCAAATAAAAAGGTCACTATGACTCTATGTTTCTAATAATTGTAACTTCATATCTCCCATTTGTAACTTCATAATTGAAAACGTAAACTTTACTTCTTGTAATTGTGACTGCTTCTCACCATAACAAACTCCATCAGGTGACAGAATGGAGCAAAAACAGGAGAAACTCTTTGTAACGGTGACTTTATATCTCACAATGTTACTTCTTATTTTATCTCCCATTTATAGAGATGGAAACCATATGATTCTCACATACAGCCAACAGATAATGTGGAATCAAGCCAGGTACCTATACACAATACACCTGCAAATAACTTGTCTATTAATATCCATGGGACAGGCCTCCAGGTTTGTGGGTGGTAGCACCTAAGTGCAAGTGAGCTCATCAAAACAATGACCAAGAGACACAGAGGCGTCAAACTGTCCCATAGATAAGGCGTAGTCTGCCTGTTATTACCCACGGTGTGTGTGTGTTTGAGGGGAAATCCCTCTCATCATGCCCTGTCAACTCTCATGCCATGATAATAACGCAGAGCATGAATAAGCAATATCTCACATTCTTACACATTCTTACATTCTTTTTTAAATCCTTCCAATTCGGTACACACAGACACGTTAAGTCTTTTTACTTCTCCCTCTTCATCGTCTTTCTCTATCACTATTTTTTGCTTCCTTTTTTTACGTGTCTCATCTTCCACTGTTTATATCTTTCCGTCTGCTTCAGACTAGCCTATAATCTTCCTCAGCCATAATCTGGTCCAAATGACACACCCTACTTTTTTTCATGTCCGCTTTCCATAAACTGAGGTTGTAGGGAAGTTAGATTTGAGGAGTAAATTATTGCTTACTCCTTGCCACTCACTTCGGTTTGATACAATATAATAATCTGGAATATTGATATACTTTTAAACAGTATTTCATCCACAAACTTTGGGTTTTTGGATAAAAAGTAGCATTGTTGCCATAAAATAATCTTTCCCCATCAATCCATTGGCATTTATATCTCTCTTGTTCCACCTATTAATATTTTGACTATAGATTTTTCAAAATAAACTAGTAAGAAAGTAGACTTGCTGTTTAAAGTGTTTTGTTTTATTTAATACAACCCATTAAAACCCCTTATAGCTATCTTAATATTCGCTTAGGTTTCACTGTGTGTAATTAAAATATTAAGGCCATATTTTTTGCTTTTGCCAAATCTCTATTTTATTCCAAATCTTTGTGAAAAAACATGTCTCATTTGTCGATTTCTAAATGCCTTCACTCTGAGAGCACTGGAAAGGTCTTAGTTCTGTAAGCATAACCAAAGAATGCCATTTTTTAGTCTTTTAGTCAACTAATTGTATAGTTGAAATGTCAGAGGAGCCCCATGGCAGTTTTATCATTGTAATCAGAAAGTCTTTAATGGAAGGTGATGTAAGGGCAACTGTAAATACAGTCCTCTATAGAAGTACATAAAAAGAGTCTGTCATGAATGCCTGCTGTGCCCTATCCTTTAATTTAGAGTCTTTTTGCAACATAATCACAGCCTAACTACTTACGGTTATTACCTGAGCTCACGAGAGGGGGAGAAAAACGTGTGTGTGTGTGTGCAATGGTGCCAGTGCTCTAGACTGACCTGAGGGTACTCATTATCCAGCCAGGGACATTACCGTGTAGCCTCAGTGTCTCTGCCATTCCAGTGAAACTGGTTTACCTCACCATCAACAAATGGGCAGAATCAGCAGAAAACAACTTCATTCCATGTCTGTCTTTGTTTCTTATCTCCCCCTCAATCCTTCAGTTTTTTCTGTCTGTTTTCTAATATGTAAATTTAGAATTAGGAAAACTTTTATTTTACTTTCTAAAATGTTTTGTTGTAGTTGTCATTTAAAGGATTAGCTAATGTAATAGCTTTTAACTTTTTATTGTGCCCTATTAATTTCCATTTTCCTCCATCCTGATCAGAGGTTACATAAAGTAGGCTACATACAGTACATATATACATATAAATAGCTTATATATATATATATATAAGCTATTTATATGTATATATGTGTGTGTGTGTGTGTGGGGGTATAAATTGTGTATATAAATGTAAATATGAATATATGGATACAAATCTGAAAATATAGTTATAAGTCTGAATAAATAAATGTAAATCTGGAATATATAAAGTTATAGCTCAGTTATCAGTCAGAATCAACCCGATCTCACAGCAACTCGTACAAATTTTACGAGGTGGCTAATTCATAACAATTTGTTCGACCTCTCTTGTACGAATTAGTAGGATTTTTGCTAAATCGTACATATTTTATGAGTTGGCCAATTCGAATGAAGTCGTACAAATGAGTCAGAATTGTGAGAAATAAAGTCGCAATCACTTTTTAAGTTATTTTATTTATTTTTATTCTGTGGCTGAAACAGGCAGCCATACATTCATTGCGGTCACAAAATTCTGGCCAGTTAATAATACTTTTCTTAATTAGCACCCAAGTATGCGAGAATGCACTTTACACATATGATATTGTACATGGTATAGTGAATAATTGTTTGCTTGAATTTAGCACATTATATGGAAAGTAGACAATATATATATATATATATATATATATATATATATATATATATATATATATATATATATATTCTGACTGTACTCTGCATTAACATTTATATATTTAGAGTTGTAACTAATATGAAGAATTTATAAATATATATTCTGACTGTATTTACATTTATATATTCAGATAACTATACACAGAATTTTTAAATCTATATTCTGACTCATAACTGTATATTTTAGATCTAAATTTATGTATTCAGAGTTATACATACAGTATATTTAGATTTGTATCTACATTCAGATTTACATTTATATTTTCAGGATTTACATATAATTATTTCCTGTTTGGTCCCCCACCCCCATTAATTGTCACACATTATATATTTTGTTGACATTTATTAATTCACATAACAAAAAAATGTCATTACCAGCTCACACAATATCAAAAAACCACACCATCACATATTATGCCAACTTGATGAAAGTGATTATATCTTTATGTATCTTTTAGAAATGTGAAAATAAAAAATGAAAGAAATACCCATGAAGTCATCATTGTTCATGGCCTGTAGCTTTACATAAAAATATGTATTCTTTGCACACCTGATGGAGTATAACCTGTTTTGTCAGTGTTCTCACAGACAGGTAGACTCTGGCTTTGGTTATGTTTTAACAGTGACACTGACCTGCTGATCTCTGGACAACTGTCAATACCAATTCACCCTTTACATTCCCAGTATAAAGCAGTTGTCCATGGTCACTGCTTTTTCCATATGGAAGTTCCAATTGTAGAGCTGGTGGTTCGTTCATATAATTTGTTTATAAGAGTGAAACACATTAAACGCTCTGTTCCACTCACTACGTCCATAATGAATCACACTGTGAAATCACAAAGACAGCATAATCCACACCAGAGGGTATAGTGTCATATTCACCAACCACCCTAAACAAACCCAGTGTTTACAGTCTGACCAGTGGCACGCAAACCTGTCTATTACACAAACATGTAAAAGGGCAGAGAGAGAAAAACACATTGTCCATGGAAAATAGTAATAGATGATTGGATCAACATGAGGATCAGTCGTTTTTTTTATATTTAGATGATCTATCCTTTTAAAAGCTAAAGTGCATTCTTCATTCAAAGTCGAAAGGCAGTTCATTCTTAATTTATAGGGTTATGAATAAATTGTCATTGGCATATATATGTTTTTGGAAAGAAAATGAAGACTCCTTCAGCTCGACCATTCTCGAAACAAAGGCGTCATTGCTTTTTCTTTGACAGATGTCCTAAAGATATAAATACTGAGAATCTGATATTGCCTCAGACTTCATGCTTGAGAGATTTATATTTATGTCTCTGGAGCACAAACTTCTTCCTGTTTCTTTTTCGGAGTCTGCCCTAAAAAACAGACAGCAAAAAAGAGTGCCCAGCATCAATGCACATTACAACCAGATGTTCCGCCAACCAGAGAGAGGGGATCTATGATCAGAACAAGCTTCCTAGTAAGAGAAAGAGGGGAAAAAATGAATTGAATTACAGTATATGACATTTCTTTAATAAGATTCACTGGAAGCATTTCAAAGGCCCTCCTCACATTGGGAACTTCCCAAAGAGAGAGGAAATGATAGTCTTTAAAATATCAACCGACATGCTCGCAGTGGTTATGACAAAGACAGAGATGCTGCTTATTTTGCGTGTGTGTGATTATACAGAGTGGCTGGATAAATCCATGCGGGACAAAATTGAGATTCGGGAACGGAGATGGTTTTAACTGTGAAAAAAGGCAAAACAAAAATAACTTCTATAGCTCAGATCCAAAAGGCCCAACGAATGGTTTCCTGATTATATATTTTCTTCTCTGCCCATTTGTTTTGGTTTTGGTTTTGTAACTCACTCATAGTGTAATTCATTGTCTGTGAAAACTGCAAATGTCAGAAGGCATTTGTTTTATTCATCCTAAAAATCTATTTCTTTTTTCTAAACTGTCAACAGGGGAAGTTTTTGTGTGATGTGGGATTGTGTTTGAAAAAGTCCTGAAATGATGCAATTAGTTGACCTTTGAAACTAACAGAAATATATTTTTTTACTCAATTTTACAATTTTTTTGTAGCCACAGAAATTAGCCAGTGCCCAGCCTGCAGACTCACTCACACACACACACACATGAACATGGTTTCAGACAACATTGTTTTAAAGATAAACCATTGCATTGGACAAACTGATAAACTCTTGTCTGAATTTTATTTTTCTTGGATTTAACACGCATACGATTAAGGACTTTGCAGTACATGTCATCTGTTAGTCCATGTTATCCAAGGAAGGACAGGAAAAAGGAAAGACAAAAGAGAGACCATGTTTAATTGCTTATCATTCCACACTTCTCAATGGACATCATTAAACCAAGTGTTTTCTTAAGACTGTTAGAGTCTCAAACCTGTAAGACTGATGTTTTTTCTAACATCCCAAGAAGTCATATAACTGACGTTTTGGGACGTCTTTTGACCATACGTCATCATCCTTTTTAGGGTACCCTTAAACGTCGGTCACATGACGATCCCGGGCCGTCATACAACTGACGCTTTACCTTTAACGTCGGTTAGGTGACGGGGTAGGTTTAGGTCTGGGGTAGGGTTAGGATCCGATAACGTCATCTAACCGACGTTTAAGAGTACCCTAAAAAGGCGGATGTTGACGTATGGTCAAAAGACGTCCCAAGACGTCAG